ATCTCCATCTTCAATATCGTCGGGAGTGTCCCAGTCGTGTCTTCTTTCCCGACTCATGAATTTTCTGCCTTTATCTATACATAATAAGGTTTTGTACTAATCAAGGTTATTTGAGGATGGTGACTTGACTAAGTTATGCCAGATAGTACTTGGTGATCTACCAAAGTGTGCTTCGAAGGGGGAGCAGTTTAACGACTGTTGCGCTACATTTCTTAGACATTTTATAATCTTCAGTAGTGCGGTTTCTAGCGACGGTTTTTGGTGTTCTTGTGCCATGACTAAGAGCCTTTATTTAATGATTCTAATTAAACGTTCGACCAATCCCGTAGCTCTATGGTCACCCACCGGGCTAAATAATACCTTTATGTTATGTTCGAGACAAAATTCTCTAACTTCTTTAGAGATAAAGCCTGATCCCTGATCCGTTCTAATAGTTCTAGGTATCCCATGTAGAGCTATGTATTTGCTAAGAAAATTTATGATTGATTAAGCCGATGTGCTCGATGTTATTTGTGCCGATGGGAATTTGGAAAATCTGTCCACACATACCAATATGTATTTTTTTGTTCCCGATGTTAACGGTAACGGACCGGCAAAGTCTAATTCCATTTCTTGATTTGGTTCTTCGATCGTTGGGAGTTCTTCGAGGTTATTATGGTTTGGGAGAGGTTTCAAATTTTTACCTGCTTTCACGCACTCGATGCAGTTTTCGCCGTGAACTTGGATCTCGCGGTAAATTTTTGGCCACCATATATATTGAGTTGCCAGGCTTTTCATCGCGAACTGGCCTGGGTGGGCTTCATGTAATCTATGAAGCATTGTCGATCTCAAGCATGCCGGGATAACTAATCGGTCGTCGGAATAGAGACATCCTCCGCTGACGTGTAAATTATTAATATAAGATTCATAGTAATTTCTCAATTGTGTAATATCTTGTTTGCGGTGTTCCTCAATTGCTTTCATGATTTTTTTTAATACCAGGTCCTGTTTAGATAATAGAGACATAAATTTCGAATCAAATATTTCAGGCCACGTGATTGGAAATATGTTAATTTTAACTGTTTTCGAGCTTTTTCCCTTACTAGGTGTTATTTCCGCGGGATTACCCGATGGGTTGCTAGTACTTGGTGTTAAAGTATTCATGTTATCAATATTGGAATGTTCAAGTTGTTCAGTTAGTTCAAATTGTTCGGCCATATCTTTCAGAGTTTTATAATTAGTTGAAAAATCGATAATTTTGCAAGATGGATCGCAGTTTTCCGTTCGTGAACGTAAATTTTGGCACACTGAAATTTTAGAGTGGTTAACGATAGCTTGGAAAGTTTCAGCGGCGTTCACAATTCGTTTCTCACGTTCTATTTCTTGACTGGTCATGTGATCTATCGACTGGGCAACCGTATTGCAATGTATGACGTCATGCGCTAAGACTTGCTGAGCGAATTTATTTCTTATTTGCGGCCAAGAATTTCTAGGCATCAAATGATCAAAACCTAGGAGAGTACTACTTTGGTTTAGCGAACCGATAACAAATTTCTCGTCGTCGAGGGAAACTGGTACGGGTTCACCCGATAGGTGTCGAGATAAGTAGTCGACAAATCCCATGTCCTTGCCCGGCAATTGTTCGACAGTAAAGTCGAATGGTAGTAATTTGTCCGCCCAACGGGTGAGATGTGATTGGGCCGTTTTTGCGTATTTGTCGTCTTTCAGCGCTCCAATTAAAGCTTTATGATCTGTTAAGATGAAGAATTGTTTGCCCAATCAGAAGTTTTTAAAATGATCTGATGCCCACACTAGACCCAGCATTTCGAGTTCATTTGTGCTATATTTTGGTTCAGCTACGTTCAAGAATCTGCTAGCGAATGCTACAGTTTTCCAAATCCTCCGATGGTCTTGTTCATTGGACGCGCCCAGTCCTAAATGTGATGCGTCGCATTTCGCTCTAGTGTCCAGGTTTACATCAAAACGGTGATTCATTACAGTGTTACAGATTTCTTTCTTGATTTTATTAAACGCCTCGGCGTGCACCGTGGACCACCTAAATGGTTTATTATTCTGCATAAGTTCTCTAAACGGTGCTGATAAGGACGCTCAATTTGGTATAAATTTGTTGAATTGGTTAATCGATCCCATTAGTGATCTTATATCTTTGATACAGCTTGGTTCTTTCAGATTTCTGATAGCGTCAGATTTCTAGATTTCTGTATGAGTGGTGTCGTCCCTTTTGCATCGACTTTAAGTCCTAGCCATTATATTATGAGTCAAAAATGTGCACTTTTCCCATTTTTTTGGCCAATCCTTCGTCGTCTAGTGTTTTTAAAAAGTTAGTAACTAGTTTTCGGTGTTCGTCCTCGCTACCACGGTAGCATTTAAGATGTCGTCAAGATAACAATGGGTGTTTGGTAATTTCTCCGTCATACGGTCCATTATGCGTTGAAATTCGTTGGGCATATCGCCTAACCCGTAAAATCCGATTTTAAAACTGTAGGAGCCTGTCACGTCTCTCCCTACGATATTGAAGTTACATTGGTTGCTTGCCTTTTTTGATAACGGTATTTGGCTATATTCGTACTTTAGATCGATCGATGAGAACCAAATTTTGTTTTCATCGTGACCGCTAATCAACACTGCTACGTTATCGATTAGTTCAAATAGATTCGGCATTTGATATCTATTACGAAATATCTGTTTGTTGAATAATTTTGAGTTAAACGCTAATTTAATTGATCCGTCCCTTTTGGCTGTAATTACGATAGAGGAGATGAAACAATCTTCAGAACATCTAGACAATTTTTCAATGTGACCATCTCTTAGTAGTTGGTCGATGCGTAATTTCACCTTAGGGAGAAGATGGATTGGAATGCGTTTCCCCTTGACCTGTATCGGTTCTATTGGTTCGTTGAAGTAAGTGTTAATTATGAAATTCTTCGATCTACCGGATCTTTTTATAAGGTCTGAAAATCGTCTTGATATGTATGTTTTAAACTCACTTTGTAATGGTGTATCTTGGTCCCGGTCTGGTTTTCTGTCTGATGCAAATTTTATTTGGTTGACGTCTGTCCCGATAGGAGATCCTTTCTGGGTTAGCCGTAACTCTGACCCATTGGGTGGGGGTTGCTTCTGTAGTACTTCTATCCCCATGTTCGGTAATGTCATTTCCGAGGAGGTTTCTTTCTGCTCCTTCAGTAATAAAGAGTTTCTGATCTCTAGCGTCCCAACCCTTCGATCGAATCCTCACTCGAACTCTTCCAATGATGTTTATTGCGCTCCCGAAGCCCTGATACGCTTTCCTTGTGATTTTTTCCACAGCTTCTATCTTTAAAAATCTATCTCGAGTTTTCAATTCATGAAGTAGATCTTTCTTCATAAATGAAACTGGGCTTGCTGAGTCAATCTGAATTTCTGTGTGGTAGGGGTTGTAGTTTCCTAGAGATACCATGAGCGTATTTTTTAGTTTTAGTCCTTCGTGATTGAAAACGGTTCTCACTCCGCGCTCGATCTTATCTTCGACTGCGTTTTTTTGAATATCCGTGTCCACCGCTATATTTAAAAAAATCATCCAAGTTGACTTCGAATTCGGGATTCTCTTGCGGTTAGCCCGGGTATTTTCTTTATCGTGAGATGTTTGTTCGACTACGTTTGTTTGCGTCCTTAATGCACTCGTGCAATACTTTGCAAAGTGACCTTTACGGCCGGACGTATTGCATTTTCTATCCTTGGCTGGGCATGTAGTTAGGTGTCCTTTCTTGAACTGCTGACCACAGTTACGACATTTTTTGTTTTCGACAATATTTAGGGTCGGTTCGTTCTATACGTATTGTGGTCTTTGCGCCGCATTATAGACAGGGAATTTCAGGTATTGCTGGTGAATTTTGGTACCTTTCTCGTGGACGAGTACGTAGGACAGCACGTTTTCTGGAGTCAAGTATTCGATACATAATTTTTTCTGAATCTCGACATTTCGCGTATTTGTAATAAAAATATCTCTGACTAATTCTGACTCAAGTTCTCCTAATTTACAATTTTTTGCTAACTCGGATAGTGTTTCGTGGAATTTCTCTAAAGACTCGTTTTCTTCGGCCGATGGATTTTGCATTATCTGTGTAATCTTGGATAGCTAGTCGGTGACGTTCGTCTTTGTCGGTCCGACGGGCTTAATCATCGGCAGTATCCGTTGGTTCGGCCATAGGGTTTGCTAGTTCGGGTCTTGACGGGGAGTTGATTACGTCTTCAATGTCCACGGAATCTTTCGCGATGATTGTTAATTGGAACTTTTCTGACCATTTTTCCCAGTCGTGCTGGTTTTTGCTCGATGTGTTTTTCCAAAAAAAACTCTAGTCCTCGTAGGTTCGACTCATTTGACTGCGCCATGTTAAAAAGATAGGATGAAACCGTCGGTTTATTAAATTGGTTAAACTTTAACTAAGACTAGTTTAAGACAGGTTGGTTTTAAGATCCCTACAAGTTAGTTGTAGGCTGTTATCTAAGACTAGATTAAAAGACTAAGAGTAACTAGGCTAAACTAAGAGTTAAATAAAAAAGTTGAATTAAGAATTAGTTGCACAGAATTGGTTACGTATCAATAAAGGTTAATGATCGGACACTAGTTCTGCCAAAAGCCGTTGCGCTTTTGGCAGGTGTTTCAATTAGTATGATCATAACTGAGTATAACCTAAAGGTTAAAATGTCGACAATATGATATCACATTTGACACAAACGCAATTACGTCATGATTGAAAAATCGAATCGAACCAAAGTTGTGCTTATTAGTTTGGTTATTGTAAGTGAGCGCAATTGTCATGCTCAGAAAATTACTGACTGTGTGGTTAGAAATCGTCAACACGACCGGCTTGCCACCGGTCGACTCGGCCGGTCAATTGCCTGTCGACTCGACCGGTTTCCTCCGTGATATAGAGCATTGATGGGATGACTGAAGGTATGCGTTCATTATATAAACAAGGGAAACATGATGAGCTTGATATATTTGCTGTGTGTTTATATAGGTGATTTCACAGCAGCTGGTGGTTGAGCACTTGACAGCCACCATTAAAGGACTGAGTGGAATTAAGGGAGTGAGTCAAGGCAGTAAAGACCAGCCTTCTAAGATGCTACTGGCCGCCTTCAACAAACTCAGAAAGTTAGTGAACCTCTTACTGTACTGAACAGTTGCAACTATCTCCATCCTTGTATGTTTTGTATTTGATTGTGAATATTGGCTGACAAATAAATGAAGAATAATTACCATTTTGTTCTGAATTGCAAAAAGTTTTAGTTTTGCGCCGGCAGTTTTTTCTTCTCTGGCTGTTTCTCTGAAGAACCCATACTCCATAATTGTTTTCAGTGATTGTAAGACACTTGTTTGGCTCGTTGTTACATTTCGTCATGCATCATGCGAATCTTATTGTATAAATAAAAACTGAGGATGCTATCAAGTTAGGTGTGTGTAAACTAGATGAAGCGGACTAATGAACGAACTGCTCGCAGATTCCCACTGAGTTTTTTTTGGGTTAAACTTTTAAGGAGATTGTTGAACTTGATTGTTGGAATAGAAGAATATTCACAAGTGGAGGAGGAGGGATGGGATGGGCAAGTTGTTTATGTTGTGATGTTTTGTAGTTTCATCCAGCCACTGCTGACAGTGTTGAGCAGGATGGGTCAGATACAGCAGCTGAGGATGCACCTGAACCAGAAGCTGTCTCTCCTCTCCTCCTCCAGATCCCAATACCTGCACTCCTGTCTCCTCACTCTCAACAAGGCCATTCTGCACGACATAGAAGCACACACTCTCAACCCCAAACACAAGCCATACCCTAGCGAAGACCCACTGTTAGGTATGTTAATGATTTAACTTTTCTTAATGTTGATTGCTCGAGCCATTCGTGACTTTTCATTTGTAAACGTCCTCACTGTGTAACTTAGGATTGAAACATAAAGTTGGAAACAAAACATGGCAACTAAAGTAATTGAAAACTCAAAAGAAGAAGAAAGATTCGATAATTATTTTCAAAGTACGAATCCCACTTCGGTCGCTGTCGGTGGGTTCCCAGTGTCATCCGCCTCCTCTAGGTGGGACCGGTTTTGGTAAAATGGATGACATCCCTCTCCCTCAGGCTGGCTATAAATGAGCAGGGCCGGTTGCTAATAAAAAAAAGTAGACCTCGGTACAGGAATGTTAGTCGAGAATGTGCCTTGTAGAAGAGTAACTGCAGAAGTAAAGTCAGGTCTCAAAACATGGGCCTTAGATTTTAAAAAAACCTGATGTGTTTGTTCAGTTGCTTTTTTTGAACTTCCCGACTTGTTTCTATATAAATATATAGAGGCCGGATTAGTATTAAAAGTATTCTCAGAGTTTTGTTTTGCTAGTTGATCTGTCGGAGTATCTGAACCACAGTGGACTGAGTGACCCCCTCAGCAAAGTCTACATCCTGACTCCGGATCCCAGCATGAAGTTCGTACCTGTTATCACCACCCTGCTAGTGATCGGACACCTCAACAGGGCATCTGCCCCCTTCGCCCGCAACATGGCCACCTTCATCAACCCCTCCCCCTCCTCATCGTCTGCAGTGGGCGTCCCAGCCGACTACGCGGACACCCGAATGTTGCTCCTAGGAGTGCACACATTCCTCAAGCAGTTCCACAACCAGGCTAGTATCTTTCGACATCCTCTTTCTGGTTATTGGGGATTTTAGACGGAAATTAGGCATGTTTTGAAAAAAAAGGTCTTTTTAGGCTTCTATTCTCTCACCTGTCTCTCTCTCTCTCTCTCTTTTTTTTCTCTATCTATCTATGTTTGTCTTTCTTAGACGATCCTTCATTTTTGGTCCCTATTTGTTAGTCTGGTCTATAACGACTGAATCTATTCGACCATTTTTGCTCGGGCGCGATGTGATACTCTTCTTTTCACAGGTGCTCCTAGAGGTGTTCTCGTACATGGGCTCATATGTGACGTCATTGGTGTCTCTCTTGCCCTCTGGTGACCCCTCGAAGCCCCTCTCGGAACTTCCTTCTGACCTGTCCCAGGTGCTGCACTTCATGCGCCAGCTGGCTCTCATCTCCGACTCCAACGACACTCTCTTGTCCAACTACATCCCCGCTCATATCTTGGAACTGCCTTTACACATGTGAAGCATATGTCCTCCATCTATCTTATCATAGATTAGAAAGTTATAGTTTCATAACTGAATATATATTTAATAAACTACATTTTATATCTATCTCAATAATTTATATTCATATAAACTGTTTTGCAGCAATTCTCAGTTTGCATGACTAGTTCTGTTCTCTTTAAGTTGATCCAAACTAAAAACTAACTAAATTAGCTGTCTGCTATCTAAGCATGCATTTGTGTTAGTTAAAATTGCTAAGTTAGCTATTATGAAGTTTATTTGTTTTTCAAGTTTCGTAAGTGATCCATTATGAATTCCAGTTTCTAAATTTTCCTGTCGTGTTCTCAACTTCTCGCAAAACTTGACGCCAGTCGTTCTCGAAATTTTCGGCATTGATGAAGTTATTTCGTTTGCTCATGGATGGAGGTTCGGGGTACTGGTTGCATTCTAGTTCAGTGGCCAGCTGTGGAGCAGTGTACCATTTTGCGTATCGTTTCAATGACCTGAATCAAGTTGTTGGTATTTGATTCAGTGTGTCATTTTACACTGCATATTCATTCTTTTCACAGGAGAGTCTGTTTCTGCTGCAGATCCCGACAGCCAGTAGAATCAAGATGCAAATGAAGATTCCAGCCAAGATTCCAATCATCCTTATTATCTAGGAACAATAAAATATGACTCGTGGCATATCACAACATGGTATTGAGTTAAGTCCAATGTGGTTAACTCATAGAGTAATTTCGGATAGGGTACACCGTCTGCTCGTCACGCTATCTTATTTTCGGCCGGATAGATTCGTGCAACTTCTTAGTCTAATACCGATCCTAATCTTACTCTTATACTATCTAGTCTCAGGTTGTTTAACTAGTCTCTGCTAGGCTCAATAGATCTAGGGTATACTGGTTTATTGCGGCTGCTGAAGTTCTCTTGGAGAGGCAACTAATTTCTAAGTTAAATTCAAATCTCTCTGGTGCTGAAATTACAAGTAATTTCAGCACTTACAAATAAGTGGGTTGTTAGTTAGATGGATCATGATTGGTTAATATTAAATACTTTACAGTGGTAAAATATCTAATTTATCCAATCATAAAATGTAGTTTAGATCAGGTTCCACCCATCCGGGTTTTACAGAGTTTTTTAGAATTGCCTTTCTGCAATTCAAAGGATGGATGATGGACGTTGGTATTTGGCGAACATCATATTTCTTCTGGGTTCTCTTGTTAGAGAAGTTCCAGGATCAATCGTTGTGTCTTCTTATGACAACGAATGGGTTTTCTCAACAAACTCAATCTGATTTCAGAATGGTTGGCTATGACAGGTTTTCTGTTTCATGTAGAGAACTTCTTTTGTGTTCGACCTTGTCTGGGAATGGCGTGGAGATTGTGCGTGGAGGGGATGCCTGGTTACTCGGATCTGTACGTATACTTGAACATCGAGGTGGTCATTGGTCTAATTCAATGAAGTCCTTTTCTGCGAAGTCAAGTCGTACTCTAAATCCTTTGAGTTGTGATTGTGGACGGCATATTGATTGTGGTTGGCCATTCTTTTTCGAGTGTAGTGGGGTCATTTTGTCTTTGGATGCTCTTTTTGGTGTTGTATGCTGATCTATATACTGCAAGGTATAATTTACATTTTATAAAATTTTTATTAGTTCAGTGTTTTAATTATGATTTTGGTTATTTGTTTTCACAAAAGCTTTTTGTTTTAGTTCGGTTATTTTGAAGAGTTACTCACCCTTGAGTACCTCTTATTAAAAATAGAAGTGTGGTCACAAAGCGTGGATGTAGCGCGGTTGGTTAGGCCGGCTATAGAGCATGCTCAGGACGTCCTCTCTGGTTGGTTAGGCCAGGAGTGGTCCTGTTATGTGATAACGTTTTATGTCGGGTTTGTGGTGGTTTTTCTTATGTTTCGTTGGTTGTGTCCTTTTTTCAAAAATCAAATTGTTTTTGGTATGGGTTTGTCTTTCGACTTTTTTGTGTTTTATTATTTCTTTCTTAGACTTTATAATAGTCTTCAAAAGAATAAATTATCCAGTTTTAAACTGGGTTAATCCCGTTTGGGTACCGTTGGTTTCTTTTCTTAGTCATGCTGTTATTCTATGTGTTGTGGTGTTTAGTAAGCTGCGTTGGTTAGTTTTGTTTAGTATATAATTCCTTTCCAACCGTGTTAAAGGAAAGTTTGAAACTTGTTATCGTGTGTTAGAGTTGTTGAGTGTGAAAACTTGAAACTGAAATTCATTATTTAAACAATTCTTCGTGGGCAAGCTGTGCGAGTTTGGATAGAGTTCTTGTGCGAGTGAATGAAAATATCAAAAGGTTAGTACTGCATTTTCGTCTTATCAATTTACTACATAGAATGTCAATGTTACTGCTAGTTTTGGGGAAAAATTAAGTTACAAATTTTCATCATTACTAAATTTACTGCTTGTGGGGATACAATTTATAAATTAATTTACTACATTGGTATGCATTTTATTGAATTTATCTAGTGCAAAATAGTAATAGAGTTTTGAAGAATTTGAAGAAGTTTTCTATTTTTTATTTTTCTTTTGTGTTTTTTGCAGATGATCGTGGGATGAAAACTAAAAATCTAAATGAGACATGGATAAAGAATGATTAGTTTTTAATTTGAATTTATTAGTGAAGAATATGTATAAGTTATACTTACCTGTTAGTCGTCGGGGAAAAAACCGTGGGGGAAGATGTCGTGTATTATGTCGGAATTTGTTAGTAATTTTGCTAGTATGCGAATGATGTTTTTAGTTTGAAGCAGTGGCCAAAGCAATTGAAGTGCTTTAATAGTTTTTAGTTCTTCAGTGCCAACTGCAAACTCATAAGGTGTGTTTTGGATGAGATTATATAATTTGTGATTGTATTTTGTGTTGTGGATGAATTCTAATATTGGGATTTCTATAGGTTGAATAAATTCATGTGGGATAAGGAAGGGTCTGGATTCTTCTGCGTTAAGGGTCTTCGTGATGGGACAAAAAACATACATTTGGGTTATGGGATCATAATTGCGAAGAATACCGTGAAGGTTAGTATCTTTGATGCAATATGTGAAGTTAAGAAAAAATGGTGAAGTGTATTTAGAGTTAATAAATTGAAAACGGTGGTGTGGTTGTCTTGATGGAGTGTGTAGGTCAAAATGATTTTGTATGAAGCGATAGTATGTATATGTGTGGGTTTGTTTAGTGCGTAACATAATGTCGTGTGAGCAGTGTAAATCGCGTTCATGTGGTGCAAGGAAATTAAAGGTTAGTGAAAATAATTGAAATCTTTCTTTAAAACTTTCGTAAGCTTGCATGTCGGTTAGTGCTTCAGAAATGACGTGGTCGAATTTGCGATCAAATATATTGAGTGTAAATACATATGGTGTTTTGATGAAGAATTTTTCTGTGATTTGTGGGTTAGCGAAGCGATCATCATCTAAAAATTGGTCTTGGTTAGCTCGGATGATGTTATGATCGTAATATTCTAGCGTATATTCGTTAGCTCGGGGTGCAGTGTATGTTTTTAGTGACTTTTTATATCCTATATAAGTAAATTGTCTATGTGTTAGTGGTGTGGTGAGTCGGTATAGCATATCTTAATTTCTTTCTATATCGATGTGAGTATTAGATAATGGTAGGCAAAGGGGATTAGTAAAATGATAATATGATGTCCAATGAAGTGTAGGCATTAAAACATGTTCGTCTACAAAGCTACGTGTGTCGTTAGTGTCATGAGGGGTGTTTAAAGTATACTGTGGAAATGAAGGTAGGGTGATTGTTAAAAAATCTTTCGTGTTAGTGTGATTTGGATGATTAATATATTCACGGGCTATTCCTGGTTTTGTTGGAAATGGATGGTTTGGGAATTTTCTTTTGAAAGTGCGATAAGCTCTATTAGTGCTATTTGATGATTCGGTGGGTGTGGATGATGGTGCTAATGATGCGGTATAATATAAGCTGAAGAGAGTGTAGGGGTAGGTGGGTTTGATGATTCTATTGTGGATGAAATCTGATTTATAGTGGGGGTGTCAAGGTGGAAGGGTTGTTGTTGTAGGGTGATGAAATTATCTAGTTCTTGGGAGATTTGGGGAGTATCTGGAGAATTGGATGATCGGTCTGAATGAAATGAAGAGTAGGTTGGGGTGACTTGGGAAGCGTAAGAGGGTGTAGAAATGGATGGGAGTGGGTTATTTGGTGGGATTGGTTGAAAAGGGGTGTTGAAAAAATTGAGGAGTTGGTTTGAAAATTATTGGATGGAGATGGTTCAGAGTCTGCAAATTCATCAGGGGTTTCAATATTAGGGTTATTGAGTTGTGAAATGGAGTATAAAACTGAAATATGTGAATTCATGCCTAGTCTGAATTCATGCCTGATGTTATATTACTGGTTGGGAAATCGGGTGGCGGGAAAGCAAAAAGTGGAATTATTGTAATTGGAGTGTTGAGGTTGGTTGGGTGGGAATTTGAGCGGTGCAGGGATCCAAGTTGTCGGCTCATCGTGGGCTAAAAAAATTATTATTTTGAGACTGAAAAGCGGTGGTATGGGGTTGTTCTATAATTTGTTCATATGTATTTTCATCTTGTGAATGATGTGTCATTAAATGTTGAATGGGACTTTGTGATATGGTTGGTCTGAAATTTGGATTATGTGTTATTGCTAAATTTCGAAAATTTCGTGGGACTAGGGATAATGGATGGTTATGTGGTAGGGGTGGTAACTGTGGTGCTGTAGGCGTTATTTCTACATTGTTATGTTCTTCATCGTATGTGTTCTGTCTTGTTGCTATTTTTGTGTTGTATTCTTTTATTTGTGCGTCTAAAAGAATTTTGTTCATTGATGATGAAAAAATTCCAAAAAAACCTGCAAATAGTATGCGTGCTACACTTGCTTGTCTATTGACCTGTGTGTGTATAGCACATGTGTTATAGATTCCTTTTAAAAGTGAAAAAAGAAATCCTATAAAGTTAAACATTGCGTATAGAATAGTCAACTTTTCTAAGATTTAATAGGGCCATCCTAGAAAATCAAGAATTTCATTTTTTAGTGTAACAAAGCTAAAAATGTTTAAAGGTGAGATATCTTGTGGTCGGTATTTTTCACCGTTTAGATATATATAGTCTTTAATGTCTTTAAAATATCCGCTATAATCTTGTGTATAAATATCTGCAAATCCTGCGGTTTCGGCAAGTTTGCGTAAGTTTTGGTCAATTGATTGTCTTTGTATAGTGTCCATTTGTGTTAATAATTCTTGGAATTGTTGTGTTCTAATGTGATGTTGGATATCGGATTTTGAATATATTCCAATTGATTGTAAGTCGATATTTGGGTTTCGAGCAATAGCTCTTATGCTTTCTGGTGAAAATTTTTTTTTGAGTGATTGCATTAATGTGGGGTATGGGGTAAGAAGGTAATATTTATCTTCATCAGGGTTCAGTTGTACTACATTGTGGCTATTTTCTGATCCACATGGAACTGCGGTATCCCAGAAATAGGTTCGTCTTGAAAATGTGTCAACGAAATGTACTTTATTCTTATAAAAGATAGGGATTCTTTTATAGCATCGTTTATCTTCAAAAACATATAGTGGTGATACTTTTTTGGTACAGGTATAAAACCATAAAATGTTTCCTTCGTAGTCTAAAAAATTTGATCTATTTCCTGATAGT